GACCATGGAACCTGTCGTGGCATATACATTATCGTGTCACACGTCTGACTGCTAATCTTTGTCAATCGGGATCAGTGACAAAGACAGTCAGTTCCCAAAGTGGCACTCAAGACTCCATCGTTCTCTCTCTCACACACAGAAGAGGAAGGGCAACACTTACAGAATATAACAAAATATGTTGTGCAACTTATAATTTGAACGACCTCAACCAATGTAAAAAATGTTAATCAAAGCATTGTTTCACCGTTCTTTTTGTCTTAAAAATGGACTGCATGCACCAAAAATGGACAACGGTCCACGGGTATGCGACTGTGGCAGGTCTTTCATGTCCTTACGAACTTTGAATTCACATCGTGCGAGGGCATGCCCGACTGTGGTGGACGAAAGAGCACGAGGGAGGAGATGGGTGTTGTTGACGCCTGCAGGCCATCAAACATAGGTGCAGTGAATCTCGTGAGCGATGAGAGCGAGGACATCGGAGCCCCCAAGAACGCAGACGGGGAGGGCGGGCCATTCGCAGAGCAGCAACCGCCGTCTGCCGAGTCTTTTGACAACTCTCGCAAGCTGGCGGCACTGATTTTCTCTGCCAGGGGCGGCGTCGGTATGTCGCAGAGTGACATAGATGCTCTTTTGTCACTTCTCAAAGACCCAAGATTCAACACGACAGACATTGCGTACCGTAATAGTCGAGAGTGTTTGACATGGGCAGGCAGTCTAGCAGAGGCTGCGGGATGGAAGGAGTCGGATCTGCGTAGCGACGACTGGCCACGAGATGCGCACACCATCTTGTGGCACCACGATTGGCGAACCACATTTCTGTCGATTTTTAATATCGCATTACAGAAATGCGAGACGGTGTCTTCTCTAGAGGTGTCCCCGCTGTCAGAGGACCTCAGTATATCTGGCCCGCGCAACGGGGCGCTAAGTTATCACATTCAGTCGATCATTCGAGCAGACAAACGTGTGGACGGGAATGAAAATTCACATTATGTTATCCCTCTGTCGCTCTATTCTGACAAGACACACACGGACGGTCGTCAAAAACAGACGGCGTACCCTCTGATGATGTCCCTAGTCGACCACGCATCCGAAGCCACACTGCTGACCTATCTTCTTGTGCTTCATCATCGTCCACGTGACAAAGGATGGGGTCAACAGTCCACCGCATTCAAAAAGCGAAAGGCCGTCATTTTGCACAAGGCCCTTACAATGGTTTTGCAGTCTGCGAAGGAGGCATTTCATGACGGAATAATGATATCGACAACGCGATTCGGGGACATAACTGTCCACCCTTTCCTCCTCAACTATATACAGGACTACCCAGAACGATCTGCGCTTGCGACTGTGAAGTTTGGCGTATGCCCGACATGCACCGTGTCCAGAACCGACTTTGATGTCCTAGCCGATTTCACGGACTGCAGGAGATTACAGACGCTCGAAACACACCTCACAGCAGTTGTGTTCACATCCGATGACATCGATGTGCCACGTGCAGCGGAATGACGAATGTCAGAGTTGAACATGCATAGGCATGTTCAAAAGAACGTTTTTTGGGGGTTGTACAGGGGCTCCAATGGTGACGACCCTTAGCTAGACTACCACCTGGCATTGCAGCCAAACCGTATGCACACAATCGAGCATGGCATATTCCTGCACATGATCGACGCATTCAGGACGGCAGCGTTTGACAAGTTGCCGCACATACCGCAAACAGAGATCCTCAAGGAACTAGATGCCAGGTTGCAGAGCGTTAGTGAGAGATGCACGTGAACATACCCCCAGCTTGTGCTGCCGGTGGCCACTGGCAGTGATTTTTTTCGAGGGAGGGTCGGTTTGAGGCGAAGCAAAACCGGTCTGTGATGACAGTGTGCGTGTTCTTTATTTGTAATATTGTCCCACGCTCGACAGGCAATGGCATCACCCTTTGTTTTGTGAAACTGATGAAAATGTATGTACGAGTGTTTCGGTGCACAATACACACTCGTGCTTCGCTCGATAAATGCGACGCTTTGATCACGGACTTCATTACGACCATCAAAGCGAAATTGGGGAGATATCAACCATCAGAATGGAAACTCTCCAAGTTGCACGATCTGATGCATCTGAGAACGTGTATTGAGCGATCCGGTGTTCCAGACACCTTCGCAACAGACGTTTGGGAGCAGCACCACAGAAAATTCTGCAATCAGCCATACCTGTCATCAAACAAGCGGAAAGCTTCAACCCAGATGGTGAACCATGTACGCCGGTCGTTGGCGTTGCAAAAAGAGACCGGGATCGTGAGGAAACGGAGGAAGAGAACGGTCGAGAATCGATCGTCTGTGACAGACTGCATGGCCACGGGAATGAATACCCTCGCACTACGCGATACGGGAATCCTGCAACTGCAGTGGTTTGACATCGATGACGAGCACATACGGGAGGGAGAAGGCATTGACAACCGTGCGTGTAAGATACTCGAAGAGCTTCCTTTCAGACGTGATTTTCGAGCAGCGCTTACGACCTACATGGTGGAGAATGGTTGTCAACCTCCTTYTGATGACCTGCTTATACACACACGAACACACCTGGYCATCGCCTGCGTACARGACGGAACAAACRGGGGCAYACTTGTTCAAACTGCAMGAGCGTCGCCACAGTTCCATGGGAGACCAGTGCACAGTGACGTCGCAATAAGAGCAGAAAACGAATGCACATGGTTTGCATCAGTAGCCATGTTTTTTGTCGTGGTCGCACCGACGAACAACGAAAATATGGAACACAGTTGCGGATTTGTGCAATGGTACAAGGAGGTCGACAATGAACGGCAACACGTGACAAGATGCAAAAAATTGAAATGGGAGAAGTTGAATTGGCATCAACACAGCAGCGTCGTATCAACCGACACTATTGTAGACATCGTTCACATTGTTCTACGCTTCTGTAAACCACAATGGGGATCGAAGTAGCATGCAATACAGCGTGACGACTGCTTTTTTTTTAACAAGTACATACTGTAGAAAAAACAATTGCAAAGTTTCTATCTTTGCTAAGAGAGAGAGAGAAAGAGAGAGAGACAGAGAGAGAGAGAGAGAGAGAGAGAGAGAGAGAGAGAGAGAGAGAGAGAGAGAGAGAGATCGTAACGGCCTTCATCAGAAGTCTGACGAATTTTGTAAGTCTGTCTAGCTGGAATCATCACGGGACAGCCATGTTGTTTCATAAGAAATTCAGGGGAACAAGAGAGGACATTTGTCTCTTTCTTTCTGTCATTTTTAGAGAAATATCATGTCAAACGTGGCTGAGTTTATGAAGCGGTGAAAACCACATGCGAAACAACTGTGTCCTCAAAAGTTCACTACTGCGTGACATTTACGTGGTCAACAATGACATTCCTTTCACTTTTGGCACTCAGTAGCCAACCTCTCTCTCTCTCTCTCTCTCTCTCTCTCTCTCTCTCTCTCTCTCTCTCTCTCTCTCTCTCTCTCTCTCTCTCAATCCAAACTGTCCTGTAAAAACGATTCGATTTCTTGCTAAAAAACTTAGCAATTTGTCATTGTCATTCCTTGTTGACCAACACGTGTGAACAAGAACAGAAACTTACGACGTCGCACAACAACGGGGACGAGGCAACACAGAATACAGAATAACAGGGTGCAGGTAAGAGAAAGCGAGCAAGGATGGCAGGTGAGAGAAGACAGAGCAACACATCGAAAGCCTTGAATTGTCGTCGAGGCCGTGAGACGACAATGCAAGGAAAGTTCACTACTGCGGGCATTTGTTGCGGGCATTTGTTACATAAAGATCGGTGGCTTGACCAGGTGATTGGCCTGCAGTAGCCAACCTTCTCCCGGTGATGGACGGGGGCATTTCCCAATTAGTTTTTTTTGCTTGAAGTATATATATTTTTTTTTCCTTGAGTACGCGAACCCAAACCGCCTGACAAAACGGATACAATCATTTTGATGCTGAAAGAGGTTGGTAACTTGCATGACGTCGCAATTTTAGAAATAAGATCTTGGTTGCGCCTCTCTCTCTCTCTCTCTCTCTCTCTCTCTCTCTCTCTCTCTCTCTCTCTCTCTCCCCCCCAATGTGGCCCCCCGACACTTTAGAGAGGCATGGATCGACACACAACATTACTGACGCGGTTGTTGTTCTTTTTCCACTTTCATGTACGTGGGGAAAACAGGGCAATGGCTCCAAGGCCAAAATACGAGGATCTGTGCAGGTCTTTGAAGGCCGCGGGAAAGAAGGACAAGGAGAGGAAGAAATCCAAGGCCGAAAAGAAAAAAAAATCGAGAGAGCATCGCAGAAGTGGATCTGAGAATGCGAAAACGGAACGCACCAGCAGGCGAAAGCACGGATCAAAAGTTTCAGTCCCATCAAGTCAGCGCGTTCTTTCAAAGCTGAAAGAACGCAATGAGTCCCCCCTTTCAACTCTCGCCCCACATAGCCGTGCCAGCGGTGCCGAGAACCGTCCGCCCAGGGCCCCCGAGAAGAGGTCGCGGGAAGATGAAATCACAAAGGTGCACCGCAGGACAAAGAAGAGAATCTCCTACAAAAAGGACACAACGGTGGACATGATCAATCTGACAGGGTCGGATGATATGCACAGCGGAGCCCGAGAGGAAACAGAGGAGGAACACGACCACCCCTCATCGGAAAAGTCCGACAGGGAGGATGACAACACGTCAAGGGACGAGGTCGACGACAGTGAGACCTCCCACGGACATCCTCGCGACATTGACGAGGTTGACGACGACGACGGCGGGAGTGACGACAGCACCACGCACAAAGAGGGTGATGATGGGTCAGCCGAAGATGACAGAAGCGCATCTAGAAGAGTGAGTTCCCTGTCCCCAGGAGGAACACAACGCACGAGGGTCCCCGGGAGGAACACAACGCACGAGGGCAGCGCTGCCGACACGCCTTCCATTGACAGACAAATAGTGAGGCACGCTAATACTGCGGAAAAAGGTAAATAAAGTGCGCTGCAGTTGTTGCCCTTGCCAAACGATTACATTCAGATTCGCAAAGTTCAGGCACATCGCTGAAGCAAGGATTTGACTTTGATGAACATGCAGTTGAAATGGACTGCCGAATGTCGCTAGTGCTAAAATGTATCTGGACTGCCGAGTTTTAAAATATTGTTATGTGCGTTGTGATGTCTGTCTCCCAGCAGATAACACGAACTTGCAAGCAAAAGTGTGTGCGAATACTGGAGGACAGCATCAAGTGAATGAAGAGTCCGGCGCATTCACAAAGAGAATGAGGTGCAGGTTGTTCCGCTCGGTCGCGAAAGCCTTTGCGTTCTCCGCAGCAAAGGACGCAACTCTGTACCCTACAGAGGATGCATTTTTCACATCGCTGCAAACCATGGCCAAACTGGTGGGGGAGATTGCGGAGGAAGGACTGCACTCACACGTAGCGTCCTGCGGGATTCGAGCAGTCATAGGGGAGTGCAACAGAATGATGACGACCGTGCGTGGGGAAATAACATGGCAGCTGAAACATTAGTTTTGGACTGAAAAAAGGATCCCGCTTATGCGGTCGCAGCAAACAGATCACCAGCTCCCCACTCGCAACAAGATGCGAGCAGAGATGAAGGAAAATAAAACGTGGCGATGGAGCGGCGATGATCCTTGGGGCGCCCCTGCCTTCAAGATGGCCCTCACCAAGGTTTTTCAGATGAGGAGGGACAGCGTCAACCTTGGAGTGACACTGTAACAATTGGCTTTTGCGGAGATGGTTATGCAATGCGAAATGTAGCAGACAACAAAGACCACCAAAGTCGCGGAGCAGATTCAAAAATTGGTTTCTATAAAGCAAGACATCGTATCATCTCTTCGTAGCCGCGATACAGTCATGAGTTTTTCGATCTTCAAGCAGGATCGTGCCGTATCTGTAGCTGAGAAGGATGTTGTGCTGTTTCGAGTTGGTGTGCCGTCTGTCCACAGGAGTGGGCCTCCTGCACCACAATAATGGATGATGATTTCGACCTCGAGTTCATTGCACCTCAGCGTGAGAGAAGCAGAGACGAGGAGAGGGATACAGAAGGTCTGTGCACCAGACCTTGAACAGCGGGGGGCGGGTGCCGTGGGGGGGTGGGGGGTGAACATAGTAGTGTGCATCAGAGGTTGATTTTGGAATCTTTGAATCAGAAGGTTCATTACCCAACGTCGCAGTCACTGCATGCTTGTGAGAGAGAGCAGGATAGTTCGGAGAGAGAGAGAGAGAGAGAGAGAGAGAGAGAGAGAGACGGGGAGATGAGGACACTGAACTCTGTGCTTCGAACAGTCACTTAACAAGACATGGTCTGTTATTTATGACACACAAATGTACAGTGCCTTCTAATGGTCATCTTTGTGTATTTGGTCCTTGAGCGACTATGTTATGAAAAAAAAAACAGCAACCGTGGTTGTCCTCAATGCAAGGTTGGGTTGTGCATGCCACTATCTCTCTCATGCTCACATGTTGCTAGAATTGTGTCACGCAGTGGTGAACCCTGTTTGTTGCAAGGAAGGTCACGATTTAACTGAGGCTTCCACACGTGTGGCCACATATTGAATGAAGCAACAGCAATCCTGCGGACTCAAAAGGAAGGTTGGCTACTGCGTGCCACTCTCTCTCAAACACAGCCATATCGGTAATTTTTTTGCCCGCAGTAGTGAACCGCGCTTCTAGTCTGGCAGCTCAGCATGTAAACGACTTTCCCTTACATAGATATCACCAGAATGAAATACCGCCATCTGGCACCAACAGAAAACAACCGTTCACTACTGCGTGACACTTTCTCTCAAACACAGCCATGTGGGTGATTTCGTGTCACGCAGTAGTG